GTCTATGCTGAAGAATGTTCCATGTCCATTGGAAAAGAATGTATATTATACTGTTTTGGGGTGAAGTGCTGTGTAGATGTCTATTAGTCAAGTTGGTTGATTGTATTGTTTAATTCTGCATCTTTGTTGAGCTTCTTTCCAGTTGTTCTATCTTTCATTGAAAGTGGTGTGTTAAAGTCTCCCACTATTACTGTGGAGTCATCCATTCATCTTTTCATTTATGTTAAAGTCTGATTTATGTATTTTGGGGCTCTTTCATTGGTGTGTAGATATTTATTATGGTTATGTCCTCTTGTTCAATTGATTCTTTATCATTATATAATGTCCTTGTCTCTTATGGTTGTTTTTTTCTTAAAGTCAGTTCTACAGAAATTAATATTGCCTTGCCTGCTCTTTTTTTATTGCCATTTGCTTGATATATCTTTTTCCAACCTTTGATTTTTAGTCTATTTTAGTCTTTGTCTCTAAGGTGTGTCTGTTGTAGACAGCATATTGATGAGTTATGTTTTCTTATCCAGTCTGCAACTCTCCACCTCTTGAGTGGTGCATTTAACTCATTTACATTCAATGTAATTACTGACAAGTATGAATTTGTTGCTGTCATTTTGTTATGTGTTTTTTTATGATGTTACTGATTTCTTTGTTCCATATAATTTTCTATGTTGAGCTCATTCTGTTTATGAATCATGTTATCATTTCCTTTGTTGCTATTGTTTTAGTATTTACTAAATATTTATGTTTGTCCTCTTTTTTATTTTCATGTGAAGGTTTGTCATTTCTCTTTGAAGTTAACCTGTGATTTATAATCTTCTTTTCAAATTTAGAACAGTCCATTCTATCTTGCAATTGTCTTGGCTTCCTGATCACTTAGAAGTTCTGTAACTACATTATTTTTTTTCCCTTTTTTGGTTTGTAGTTGTCCTCCTTTGCCAATCAATGTCTCTGGTTCCTTATTTATGGTCTTGTAAGTTTATTTTACTTTGGATACTTCCATAACTGGATTATGTCATCAGGTTTGTTAATGGTTTGTTGTTGTTTGCTGTTGTTGGTTCTCTGTCCAAAGGACTCCATTTAGCATTTCTTGTAAGGGTGATCTGGTTTTAAGAAATTCCCTTAATTTCTGCTTATCTGGAAATGACCTAATTTCACCATCATATTGAGGGACAATTGTGTTGGGTATATAACTCTTGGTTGGAAATTTTCTCTTTCAGGATTATATATATATCATTCCATTGCCTTCTTGACTGCAAGGTTTCTGCCAAGAAATCAGAGCTTAGTCCTATTGGTTGCCTTTAGTAGGTAACTTTTCATGTTTTTTGTGCTGCTTTCAGGATTCTTTGTCTTTGGTTTTGGTGAGTTTGATGATGATATATCTTAGTGATTTTCTTTTGGGGTCAATCCTGTTTGGGTTTTGTTGGACTTCTTGAATGAATATATTCTCATCTTTCATCATGTCAGGGAAATTCTCTTCCAACAATCTTTGACAATTTTCTCTATGGTTTTATTTGTCTCTTTCCATACTGGAATTCTGATTACATGTAGGTTATTCCTCTTGATGGTATCCCACAAGAATCTTAGGCTTTCTTCATTTTCATGTGATATTTTTTCTGATTGATCCCTTACCAAAGTAGTACTGAAGTATTTGTCTTCAGTCTCACTCATTCTGTCTTCCATTGATTCGATTCTATTCCCTTGCCTGTTTAATGTTACCTATTTCTGAAAATTTAGTATTAATCTTCTGGCTTTCTATCTGTAGATTTTGTATCATTTCTAATTTATTGTTTATTTTGTCATTTTGTTCTTGTATTGTCTTTCAAAATTGTTCTAGAATTTTGTCTGTGTTTTCCTTAATTTTGTCCATGTTTTCCTTAATCTGTCTCTCAATTCATTGAAGGTACCTAAACATAATTCTTTTGAATTCTTTATCAAGGAGTTCCAACACTGCTTCTTCCTCAGGGATGTTTTCTGGGTCAGTATCCTGGTCCCTTGTTTCTACTACTTTATCTTGCTTCTTTGTATGGACTGTGATGGTCTGTGTCTCTGAGACGTTGTGATATTGTTGTATTTATATTTAATTGGTGATTGTATATTGGTGTGATTCATTCAAGATTTTTTTTTCTTTGTTTTGTTTTAATATATCTGAGTAAGCAGGGTACTGTGCTCCTCTGTTCATTAGTTGGCAGAACTTATTCACTCAGTACCTGTCTTCTGGTGAGTATGATAGAGAATGAGAGTGGGTGCATAAATCTCTGTTAACTATTTGTGAAGAGCAGTTAAGGTGAGTTGGGCTTGTATTGGCTGTTGTCTACCATTGGCCAGTTGGTGCAGAAGCAAGTGGTGGCACTCACTCAGTAGGTGGGACTGCAGGAGATGTGGGTAGGTTAGGCCATATGCACATGGTTGATGTCTCCCACCCAGTCAGACAACAACAACAACAAAAAAAAAACAACAAAGTAAAAGCAAGAGGGCAAAAAACAATCTTCCCTTTGGATCCCATAGGCTGAGCTTGCAGAGGGCAGTATGCACAACTACACTGTAGGCTGACAACTGGAAAGGTTCAATATTTCCCTTGTTACTCTTATACACCACACCCTCTTGGTGAATGGAGGTGTGGCCATCCCCACCTCCACCCACCTTCTGGACTGGCGGGAATTCCATCCCAGTCCATGTGCTTTGAAGGAACTTGGGTGCCCTATTCCACCCTGCAGGATACATTTGTCTTTTTTGTTTGTTTGTTTAAAAATTATTCTATTTTTTTCTTCTTTTTTATTTCTATTCTTTATTTTTCCCTTCCCAGGTTCTAGTCTTTGGGTTATTTCCTCTTGCCTTGTCATTGCTTTTATCCTAAATACAGCACATGAGGCTCAGAGTGGTCTGAGCCTTGCTCACTGTTCCAATCTCATTTTGCACCATGCTTTTTCTGGGGCCAGCTACAGTGGGTTTCTTTTATTCTTTGGTAGTCACCATGCTATTTCCTGCTCCTTCACCAAAGGCCTTTGTGCATGCACATCCTTCTCCTCTTCATGTAGTTAACCCCCATGCTTCCTTCCTTGGAGAAATCATCAGAGATCTCCCTGACAAGATGAAATCCTGATGTTATAGTCTCACTTTGAAATATAGCCCCATCCTTATAGCATACATTTCAGTTGTGACGTTATATTTTTTATCTGTGATTATTTCACTGATGTTTGTCTTTCTTACTAAACTCTAGGCTCTGTGGAAAGTAAGAACCCTGTGTGTTTTTGTGTTAAGTTCAATTCTTGGCACATAATGAGTATGCAATAAATATTTGTCAGATGAGTGAATGAAAAGACCAGAGAACATCCTTGTTTGCTATTAGTTGAAGTCACAGCAATAAAGTCTTGTTTCTCTGGTCCATCCACTGGGACTTGGGAAAAGTGTAGTCATAGGTAACTCTCCTAGACAATGGTATCCATGATAAAATGGGAGCTCTGGTAGCATAGTGCCTAAGGCACTTGACTGCTAACCAGAAGGCTGGCGGTTCAAACCCACCAGCCACTCCTCGGAAGGAAGATGAGGCAACCTATTTTCGTAGTGACACTGCCTCAGAAACCCAAGGAGGTATCTCTATGAGTTGGATTCCACTCGACAGCACATAACAACAACAACAAAGCCAAAATGCTGCATTCTTGACTTGGTTATACAATGCTTGTCCTCAGGCAAGTCTTAAATTCTTTCAACTCTATGTTTCACCTGCAGATCAGGCATCTCCTTTTGCCCTTGGTAGCTGTTATCTACAACCTCCCTCCCTGCCTACCTCCTCAACTAGAAGTGACTAGGCCTCCTGCAAAGGTAGGAGAGGACCTGAAACAGAACTGCCTTCTCTGTGGAAGTGTTGGAAGGAAGACACAGTGTGGGTACAAATATCCAGATACTACTGTTGGCTTCTATTTCTTCAGACAAACTAGCTTTGAAAACGCAGGTTGAATATTTGGCATGACAAGAACGTAGTCCCAAGCACAGTTTGTTGTCTGTTTGATGTTAATTTATCAAAAGTAAGTGGTATAACCTGATAGCTGTGGCAAGGTATATTTACTACCTCTTTCCTGTTTAATTGAAATGACAAATGGTATAACCTAAGATCTTTGGTGAAGTATATCTGCTCTCTCACTTTTGTTTCATTAGCATAACATATTCAGATCAATCTCTTTCTAACTCAATGTTCTTCTTTCAGTAAGTAATTTCAAGCTGCTGCTGTTTATTTTCTACATATTTTGCCTAAATATTGCCTGGTAACTGTAGAAGAAAGTCCTTGGCTTGTGCAAACATTTGAGCACTTGACTGCTAGCCAGAAGTTGGAATCCACCCAGAGGCACACCTGAAGATAAGTCTGGCAACCTGCTTCCGAAATATCACAGCCTTGAGAACCCCATGGAGCAGTTACAGTCTACACACATGGGTTCTGCATGAGTTGCAGTTGACTCGATGGCAACTAACAACAATAGCAACAAACGAAGAGAGGAGTAACTTAGTTTTCAAAGTTGAAATGCAACTTCAGAAGAAAGACTTATGCAACTCAAGAAGTTGCTTTTTCTATCTTTCTGATTCTTGGATCCCAAACTGTTCTCTTAGCTGATGGTGTCCAAAACAACCAGAACCAAGGAAGAAACTCCATTCTGTCATACAGACTTGGCAATGTGATACCTGCAATGGTTTCCTATATGTTAATTTTGCCATCTCTAAAATGAATGCAGTTGTTCTTTATCAGCCTCAGGGTGGTGTTAGGAAGTCACTGAAATGATATTATAAGAAAAGGAGAAAAGGAGAGTGACTGATCTTGTAAAACTACAAATCTATATTTTCTTGTTCGCACAAACAACTCTTTTAGAACAGGATATTTACACTAGACTTGATTTGATGATTCTAAACTACAACCCAACCACCTTCTTCAGAAAAGCAAAAAAAAAAAGTCAGAAACCTGCAATTGTGTAACATGTAAATCTCTTCTGGACTGGGGCCCATCGCCACTGTGGTTTGGCAACACAGCATAACATCTCTTTTCTCATCTCTTGGTAGAAAAAATATCCTGCGAATAAAGGTAATGATTAATCTATCGGGCATAAAAAGGCTCATTTTGGGCATTTCAGGCTCTAACTTGCTAATTCAAACAAACAGCAGCAAAACAGGGAATGACAGTTTCACCAGAAGAGGATTAAGTCACAGCCTCTAATTGGGACAGCCTTTGTACAGACAGAGACGCTCACCAGACATCTCCAGGAATCTGTCAGCAGTGGTCAAAATAACCATTTCCATGTGTGAGAGAAGGTAACGACCAGAACCAGCAGATACTGGTAGAGAGAGTGGTCCTGAGAGAAACCCCAAGATGCAGCCTGAGAAGGAACAGAAGAGGAAGAGCTTCAAGCAGAAACTGGTCTTGAAGAGCAGCTTATCTAAAGAAACACTCTCTGAGTTCTTGGGCACATTTATAATGATTGTAAGTATTTCCTGAATTCTGACTGAATAACATGTCCCTGTTAGCCTAGCATTTTATTGAGAGTTTTGCTTTGTTTTGTTTTGAAGTTAGTTGTTAGATTCATCTCTTTCAGGAAACAACAGTTCACTTCCAGGGTGGTTATTTTAGTGGTCCCGATATTGCAGTTTCATATATTTATTTCATTTATCCACAAAGATTATTGATGGTGGGAGGTGGGAGAGTGAAGTGCTTTATTCATTTCAGGGATTTACTCAACCTCTAAAAGGGCTTTTGTGATTTAAAAGTCAATCATTTGAGATTTTTCTTATTGATTAATTGATTTATAACCTATTCACTCTCCACAAGCTATTGGCAATCAATAAATAAGGATGGCAAGAAACAGCCCATTATTACAAGTGGTTGGCAAAGATTGTGTTGTCAAATCACTTGACTTCTAATAAATTAGAAATTACTCTAGGTAGAAATAGCACACAGTACGGTAGTCCAGCTTTGGTTTCGAATGATTTTTTCCATCTAACTTAAGCTAATCTCTAAAGATCTTTAATTAGACAGTTATAAAAACTCTCTAGGTTTAAACGAAGGGCTGATTCTAAGAACTTTTTAAGGATTTTGTCCAGGGATTTTCTCAGCTGTTAACAAGAGACTTCGCAGTTTTCTTCACTGGCACAGGCTTTCATCTTGCTGCATGTTCCAGCAGTCTCTGGATCCTGAATTCTTAGCCGGAGCCAGACAATTCGTGAACAGAAAATTATATGTTTAATTATTGTCCTGTGTGTCCTTGCTTAAAAGACAAACAAACAAACAAACAAAAAGCTACTCAAAGATTCTTTAATCCAGTTATAAATAATTTCACTTTTCTTTCCTTTTTTGAAAGGAATTTTTCTTTTTAATTTATTTACTTTTATTGTGATTTAGGTGAAAGTTTACAAAGCAAATTACTTTTCCATTCAAAAAGTTATACACATTTTGTTTTGTAATATTAATTGCAATTCCTTCAATGTAACAGCACTCTTCCCACTTCCTCCCTGTGTTCCCCCATTTCCATTTGTCTTTTTTTTTTTCTGCTCCTCCCTGCCTTCTGAGCTTTGTATGTGGGCAAATGCTGCCCTTTTGGTCTTATATGGTTGATTAGTCTGAGGTGTAAAATCTTCACCAGTGTTATTGTTCACTTTATAGTTCTGTCTGTTGTTTGGCTGCTGGGTGATCCCAGGGGGTGAGTTTTGTTCCAGGTCTCTAAGGGCCACAGTCTCAGGGGTTCCATCAGTCTTTACCAGGCCAATAAATCTGATCTTTTTTTATGATTTTGAATTATTCTATATTTTTATTCCCTTCTGTATGGGACCTTCTGTGGTCCTGATCACAGTAGTCAACAATGACAGCTGGATACCATCTAGTTCTGGTCTCAGGCTAGTGGAGGCTATGTTGATGGGGTCCGTCAATACTTTGGGCTAATTGTTTCCTCGAGTCTTTGATTTTCTTCACTTTTCTTTCCTCCAGAAGAGACCAATAATTGCATTTTGGAAGGCTGCTCGCTAATTTTTAAGACCCCAGTCACTACTTACCACAATAAGATGTATAACATTGTCTATGTGAACTATGTTATGCCAATTGACTTAGCTGTCCCTTGAGACTGTGGTCCTAACCCCAAGCCCAGTGACTCCTTCCTTCAAAGTGTTTAGTTATGGCTAAAACATTTTCATATATACAATAATTGTTTCTTATGATTATTCTTTCTCATAATACAATATTGTTTCTTAGCTCCCACTTTGAATACTTTGCCCCATGTTTGCTCTACTATATACATGGATGTAGATATATATGCGGAAGCTCTGGTAGCGCAGTGGCTAAGGCACTTGACTGCTAACCAGAAGGCTGGCGGTTCAAACCCACCAGCCACTCCTCGGAAGGAAGGTTGGGCAATCCTACTTCCATAGTGATACTGCCTCGGAAACCCAAGGAGGGGTCGCTATGAGTCAGGGCTGACTCGACGGCACATAACAACAACAACAGATATATATGCAGAAATATCCTCTGCTAAACCTGTGTATGGTTGTAGGTGTAACCTCATTTACCTACACATACCTGTTCAGCTTGCATGTCTGTCTATGTGTCTACTCAAAGATTATTGTTTGTTACTACTGATATTGCAGAATTGTGTATATAATAGCATTTACTATTGTTATTTACTATTGCTGCCTTTTACTCTTGTGCTTCTCCCAATGTCTTCCTTTGCTTTGATCATGTTGTGATGACCTTGCCCTTATGTATATTGCCTTTCCTTTCACACAAGTTAATATGTGTCTATGGTGTAATTAGTGTAATTTTACTTTTCTTAAAGTTATAAAGTTATAAAGAATTGTCCATACACTTTGTACATTTAAAGTTCTATGCTTTGGGCAAATGCATAATAAGTTGGAAGAATGTACAATAAACTTGGAATGTATCATCTAAGTCAAGATTGACAAACTAATATGAACTCACATAATTGAAATTGAACTAGTGTAAAATGGTGAGTTGTAAGTTTTCTGTTCTCTGGGAGCCTCTTTTTTCCTGATCCATTCCAGTAGTTTAAAGGAGTTGTAGACAATTTTTTCTACTCCTCACCTTCATTTGTCATTGAGCCCTTGATGCTCTGATCTTTACCCACACACCATAGGTAGAAGGAGGCAAAAGGGAAAGAGAGAAGGTAAAAGTCAACGAATTGTCTGATTCCAGTCATTGCTTACTGGAAAAGCACCCTCAGCAAGATAGAGACACTTCATCACATTATTTGACAGTTAGGTTCCAAAGAGGAAAGTGCTTGTCACCATAGGCTGATTTCAGCCACATGATGGCTTGCGCTACTGAAAAGTGAGGAAAATTCAGTTTCCGTTCTCAGTCCTTTACAGAAAACAAAGAGAAGGAAGTGAAATAAACATCCTTTTCACAACCTAAAAGATTAAAACCTTCTTTATTTCTTAACAAGAACCTGTTTTATAACCCCATCCCTTCTGAGTTGAAAGTTGTTTCTGAGTGAAAGTTGTTTCAGCTATTCACTATTCTACTAAAGCAACTAGTAACAAGTCTTGCTCACAGTATTCAAAGTGGGAACTAAGAAAAATGTCTTAATTTTTGTATATTGAAGAATTAAACTTGGTATCTTCTGACTAAAGCCAACTATTTCCTGAAAGGCTTTGTTTCTATTTATGCTGCATAGTTATTTTTTAAAGCAAACTCTAATGAAATCTGTAATTGTGATTATAGACTTAGATTTTGTTGGGGCTTGTATGAATGTGTAAGCAAGATGTATCTGCCCAAACACAATAGATCTATATAATTTCTAAAAGTGATCCAAAGTAATTGTTGGAAAATGTGCCTTTTGCCTTGCATTCTAGTAAAAAGCTTTGCATACTGATAAAATTTGGGGAGGAGATAGAAGGGGCAGGGGAAAGAATGCATTAAAAAGATGACAAGATATATCAGTCCTTCAAATTTATGAAGTTGTCTCTCTCTACTCCCTGGGAATCTGGTGCCACTTTTCCCTGTTCACAAAAACTGCTCTTAGGGAAAGCATCTTTAATTCATTCACACCAAAGGAGTAAATGACTGATAAGGCCTACTAGTAACATTAAGGGAAGAGAACGCCCATGAAAAGTTCTTTGTAAAATTATAAGTAACAACAATAGTAAGTCATAAGCTGAAGAACTACTCTAATTTGGCCTTTTAGACATTGGGATAAACAAGTCTTCCCAACTTTGCTAATGTCTGAGTGAATGTTTGAGGTGCATCTTCCCTATCACAGAGAAGAGGTTTAGAAGCATGGAGCACATTTACATACATCTATTTAATTATTTATTAAATAAATAATACATTTATTTAATTCTTAAAATAGCTGCATTAGGAAAGCTTTATTATCACCCACCCCCATCATCTGTCAATTTGGTTGCTTATATGTTGTTATGATGCTGGAAGCTATGTCTCCAGTATTTCAAACACCAGCAGGGTCACCCATGGTGGACAGGTTTTAGTGGAGTTTGCAGACTAAAACAGACTAGGAAGTCAATAAATGCTGTAGAGTCGGTTCTGACTCATAGCGACCCTATGTACAACAGAATGAAGGACTGCCCAGTCCTGCACCATCCTCCCAATCATTGATATGTTTGAGCCCATTGTTGCAGCTACTGAGTCAATCCATTTCATGGAGGTCTTTTCTGCTGACTCTCTGATTTGCCAAGTATGATGTCCTTCTCAAGGGACTGGTCCCATCTCATTACATGTTGAAAGTAAATGAGATGAAGTCTCACCATCCTTGCTTCTAAGGAGCATTCTGGTTGTATTTCTTCCAAAACAGATTTGTTTGGTCTGCTGGCAGTCCATGGAATACTCTTTGTCAACACTGTAATTCAAAGGCATCCACTGTTTTTTGGTTTTCCTTATTCATAGTCCATATTTCACATGCACATGAGGTAATTGAAAAATACCATGGCTTGGGTCAGGCGCATCTTAGTCTCAAAGTGACATCTTTGCTTTTATTTATTTATTTTTATTGTTTACACTTGAAAGAGATCTTCTGCAGTAGTTTTTCCCAGTGCAATATGTCATTTAATTTCTTGACTGCTGCTTCCATGAGCATTGATTGTGGATTTAAGTAAAATGAAATCCTTGACAACTTCAATCTTTTCTCCATTTATCATGATGTTGCTTATTGGTGCAGTTGTGAGGATTTTTGTTTTGTTTATGTTGAGATGTAATCCATATTGAAGGCTATAGTGTTTGTGCTTCATCAGTAAGTCCTTTGAGTTCTCTTCTCTTCCAATAAACAAAGTTATGTCATCTGCATATCTCAGGTTGTTAACGAGCCTTCCTCCAACACTGATGCCTTGTTCTTCAAAAAGTCCAGTTTCTTGGATTATTTGCTCACCATACAGATTGAATAAGTATGGTGAAACAATACAACCCTGACACACACCTTTCCTGATTTTAAGCCATACAGTATCTCCTTGTTCTGTTCCAATGACTGT